CAAAATCTCAAGCACTTTTTGTGAAGTTGATGTCATTGCATGTGTGTGACAAGTGATGTGACTTTATCACGGGCTAATTGTTTAGAAACAGTAACTACGCTTCAATTTTGATTATAGAGCTTTGATTAGTTCGCATGGATGACGTCAGATCGAAGACTGTGAAAAACTAGTCGAGGCTAGTTGTAATGTTAATATTTATCACAAGTCATTGCTTATCAAATACTTTGACAATGTTAATTTTTTTGTATTGAATGATTTTTAGTGTCACTTCCTTCGTGACAGCATTGTCCAAATGATATAAAACCGTTTGATAAAATATCCCGGCAATATAGTCATCTATCGTTATTAATTATTAATCAGCCATTATATACTTATATTTATATATTTATTTATACCCCCTCTGTTGTAACTAATATAAGAAATAAATATTTATTAAAATTAAAAAATTAGTAGGTGTGAGTAATCACTTTTAATTTTGGATCAAGTTATTGATTATGACTTAAATTATAATATATTACTAGGGTTACCAATCATCCCAAAATATTGATAACAAATTTATTAAATTTTATATATCCAAGAATTTTCCAAAAAGAAGGTTAGACAGAAATTATTATTACCGTAATTAGAAAAAAACAAAATTTACAATTTCTACTGTCGATCTGTAATCTCTAACTTACCGGCACAAGATACATTCTCAATTACTATAAAAGCTTCCGCTTATGTCCACATTTGCGTGAGGTCGCGTCACATTACCACAAAACTCGTACACATATGTTGTATATATATATCACAACAAAATAGAACAGTAAAGTACTGTCAGTACACGTGTGAAAACAAGCCAAATTAATATTTATATATTTTGTAATTATACAGGTAAGTACATAATTTTATTATTATTACTATTATTTAATTAACTTAAAAATAAAGTTGCGAATAAACAGGTAAGTATTTTATAAATTTGTTGGTTATTTCATCATCATATTATTCCGAATAGATTTAACAGGATGAGTAAGCGAACGCAGCCGGCTTGGGAAATTCCGAGTTCTGATAAGCCAACGTTGAAATTATTTAATAGTTTAACGAGACAAAAAGAAGAATTTGTGCCTCAAAATGGAAACCGGGTACTTTGGTACAGCTGCGGTCCGACTGTTTACGATGCATCACATATGGGACATGCTAGGTATATTTTTTTTTTTAAATAATCTGATAATAATACATGCTAATACATACATTTTCAGGTCATACATATCCTTCGACATCTTACGCCGCGTATTATCCGACTACTTCAACTACGACGTGCACTACGTAATGAACATAACAGACATCGACGACAAAATAATAAAGCGCGCCCGTCAAAACTACCTTTTCGAGTCTTACCTCGAAAAAAATTCCTCAAGCTTGGAGCAGATTCTTCAAGACACCCGCGAGGTGATCACAAGCCTGTCTTTAACGATCCACAGCGTCACTGATCCAGACAAGAAGACAATGCTGTCTTCAATGCTCCAAAAAATCCGCGAGTCTATCGAAAACTTGGAAAACTCTATAAAAAACAAGAATGACGCGGAAATAAAGACTTACCAGGCCCAATTGCTGACCAACGCTAGAGACGCGATAGCAGATTGGCTGGACAAGAAGTATGGCGCCCAAATTTCAGACGAGAACCATGAGATCTTCGAAAAGCTGTCTTCCTATTGGGAATTGAAGTTCCATGAAGACATGGACGCTCTAAATGTGCTCAGGCCGAATGTTTTGACGAGGGTCAGCGAATACGTCCCGGAAATAGTCGAGTTCATTGAGAAGATTATCGAGAATGGGCTTGCCTATGTCTCAAATGGTTCCGTTTACTTTGATGTCAACAAATTTGACGCAGATGGGCGCCATCATTACGCCAAATTGGTCCCAGAAGCTTTTGGGGATGTTAGTAGTCTTCAGGAAGGCGAGGGCGACCTCAGTGTTGGGGCTGACAAGCTTTCCGAGAAGAGATCGGTCAACGATTTCGCGCTCTGGAAGAATTCTAAGGCTGGGGAACCTGCTTGGCCCAGTCCTTGGGGAAAAGGAAGGTCAGTATTGAATTGCTGAAGTGGTTGGAGGGGATTTAGGTTGATTAATTGAGTGTTTTGTTGATAATCTAGACCCGGTTGGCACATTGAGTGCTCGGTGATGGCCAGTGCTATTTGCGGACCAAGCTTGGACATCCATACTGGAGGTGTCGATCTCAAGTTTCCCCATCATGACAATGAATTGGCCCAATCTGAAGCTTATTTTGATAATGATCACTGGGTTAGGTACTTTTTGCATTCTGGGCATCTGACGATAGCTGGATGCAAAATGTCCAAGTCGCTGAAAAATTTCATTACTATCAATGAAGTCTTGAAAAAACATACCGCTAGGCAGTTGAGGCTTGCGTTTTTGCTACATTCGTGGAAGGATACGTTGGATTACAGTGAGGGGACCATGGAAATGGCTGTTCAGTATGAAAAGTTTGTTAATGTAAGTTTAGTTTCTTTTGCCCGATTTTTGGATATGTAAATTTTGAACTTTGGACAATTTACAAATTTTGATCTTGGGTTAATAGCTGATCATTTACCAAATTTTGATTATCTACCAATCTTTGACCAATTTTAATGAAGTTCAATATCAAATTGTCGAGTAATTTTTGAACATAGATCAATTTTTAACTATAGAGTAAATTATGATCATCTGCCGATTTTTTACCATTTAAAAAATGGTCCAATTTCGAATTGTAAACGAATTTTTGAACATGGACCAACTTTTGATCATCCATCAAATTCTAATCATATAATAATATTTGAAAATCAACCAAATTTTGACTAAATACCAATTTTTGAACAATTTAAAAATGTTGAACTTGACCATATTTCCAAATTTTGATATTGTATTAATTGCTGATCGGTTGCCAATTTTTAACCCCTTTAAAAATGGTCAAATCTTGGATTATATACCAATTTTTAACCATAGACCAACTTTTGTTCATCCACCAAATTCTAATCATATATTATTAATTTTTAATAATCAATCAAATTTTGATTCAATGTCAATTTTTGACCATCTATTAATCTTTGACTATTTTGAACATGGTCCAATTTTTTACTATAAATTAATGTTTGAACATACTCCAAATTTTGAACATCAGCTGATATTTGAGCTTGATTCAAATTTTACGTTTTAATCTTCAAATGTGGTTTAATTTCTAACCAAAAAATAATTTTGATATTTTTCCAGGAATTTTTCTTGAACGTTAAGTGCCAAATTCGTAATTTAGGTACCGGAGTATCCTTACAAACCTTCACCAAATGGAACCCCCTGGAAATGGAACTAAACAGTAAATTCTCTTGTGCAAAAGACAATATCCACAAGTCGCTTTGTGACAACGTTGACACCCGGACGGTGTTGGACATAATCAGAGATTTGGTTGGACACTGCAATATCTACTTAAAAGACTCAAAAAATCCCAACATCCTTCTACTCAAGGACATCGCTGTCTACGTCACAAGAATGCTGACGATTTTTGGCGCGATAAAAAGCTCCGAAGGAATTGGATTTCCTTTGGACACTGAAGCTTCTGTTGACGTAAGTCTTTGTTAAGAAAATCAATTAATAATAACTTTATTAATAACAAAAATTAATTAATCTTTTGAATAATTCCAGGTGGAACAAATCGCGATGCCGTACCTTGAAATTCTGTCTAACTTCCGCGAGAAAATTCGCGCTCACGGCAAAGAACTGAAGTCTAAGGAAATCCTGATGGAATGCGACAAACTCCGCGATGAAATTCTGCCCAACGTCGGAGTCCGGCTTGAAGACGACATGGATTCAGGGACTTCCAAGATAAAGCTTGTTAATAAGGAAGAGTTGCTTAAAGAGCGCGAATTGAAGCGCAAAAACGAGGAGGAAAAATTGGCGGAAAAGGAACGCAAGAAGGCTGAAAGCAATCAGAAAGCTTTGGAGCGCGAAGAAGCCAGGAAAATTTCTCCAAAGGAGATGTTCAGGAGCCAGACTGATAAGTACTCAATGTTTGATGACTCAGGACTGCCGACTCATGATAATTTGGGCAAGGAGTTAAGCAAGGGACTGATTAAGAAGTTGCAGAAGTTACAACTTGCGCAGGAGAAAAAGTATAATGAATATTTGGAGAGTCAGAAATAATTTTTTTCTGTGTTAATATTTGCTGTATTTTGGAAATAAAGTTTTTTGAAAAAAAATATTTTATGGTTAAGTCTGACAATTTTTTTCACATATTATTCCTATAAATAATAATAATAATAATGATAAATAATGACTATTGTAATAAATAATATAAGAAAAAAGAAATAGAAAAGAGTTAATTTTTGTAATGTTATTTAAATGAAAGAAAAGAGATAACTATGCCAGATAATTGAGTGTTGTTTTTATTTACACTGCAGCTGATCAATAAAACAGAAAGCGTACCTAGATATTTATCGTGTGAATTGTTAACGAATAAAATTAATAAATATTTATTGAAATATTAAGACAGAAAATATATCTATGATTACGATGTGTCAAAAAATATTTTTATTAATGCAAAAATATCTCAAAATTTTATTTAACATTAATGATAAATAAAATCAATTTTTCATTGTTTAAGTCTGACAATTTTTTTCCACCTGCCCTCCTTTAAATAAGTTAACTTCCTTGGATTTAAATCTTTGAGAAAATTATCGAGCTGTTTGACACTTGAGCAGTATAGATTAACTTTAAGAATAATAATTTGTTAACCCTCCAAAGACTTTTCTTGAGCGAACAATGTTACTTAGTTGACTCTCGGTTATCAGAGTCTCCAGCCGAACAAACTTTCGCTCCGGATTCCCTGACAGGTCAACAGACACCGATAAAACTAATTCGGGAATTGGTTAGAGCTTCGACAGCTCTAAGGACAGTGCTCAACACTTTTAATCATAAATATATCTGAGTTAAAGTCCCAGCAAAAGGACACCAACCATTTTGTTTTCATTAAATCTTTCAACAGCTCGACAAATTTATTTCTTCCAGGCTCAATGAACCTTTTGTTCGATACTTAACAAGACAACTGTCTTAAAGAGCAACAAATATATTTATCGGGTTTTTTTTTGAGGAACATGTTAAACGCCCGAGAGAACAAAACATTCTCAAGCTCCACCAGCACTTTTTTAAACCTTCAAACAATTATTGTTGTTGGTTCGATCATTTTGTTCTATTGAGTATCTTTATTTTTTCTCGGCTCAGTAGCCAACTGTCCAAGGCCACCAAAATATTAGTCGGCTCGAGAAAAACATTCACCCGACAAACATTTTCTCCGCTCAATTTATTTTTTTCCGACTTAATGTCTGCTATTAAATTTATCATTGTCTTCGGTACTGTTATTCTAGATCTTTATTATTGTTAAAACTAATGTAAATTCCTTTTAACATTTTAAATTTGTTGGTACAATTGAAAAAAATAAGTGAGATTGAAAAATGTATTTTTTGCAACATTTAGTGCAATTTTATAGGCTACAATCCTATACTTAAAAAAAAGCAGTAGAAAAAAAAAGTACTACTTTCTTCGTAACTAAAAGAATGAAATAACACGTTACTACATCATGAAGAAAAGTTATGAATTTTTTATTGTCATTTAAAATAAAAAACCGTCAAACGAAAAAAACTCGACATTATTATAAGTCAAGAGGTCATTACATGTGATTTTACCAAAAAAATATCCAAACAGAAATAATAATACCGCGTTAAAAAAAAAAAATATAAAAAATTGTATCAACTTTAGAGTATCGAGTGCTTAAATTTCTGATTGACGTCTCAATCGTTTTTCCCGTGCATATAAAGAAGTCGCCAAGAAAAAAAAACTCCCCTGAATTTTTTTTCGCGCCTCCCGGGGACTTTTTTTTTCCACGCACGACTTCATAAAACTTAACGCCGGCTAACGAGCGTCATTTTGTAATTTTTTTGGTCATATCGAATTATTTAACGGCTTTCCAATCATAATTTTAAAGAGATTTATAAAATTGTAGAGTGATTATACCGACTATTCACTGATAAAAAAAATATCTTTATTAAAGAAAAATATTCTTGCTCCAAGAAAATTATTCTGAAGAGAATTAGTTGTCTTATTTAAAGAAATTCTTGTCTTGATTTAATATTTCTTGGAGTGAGCGATCTAATCACTACCATCAATAAAATTTTTACGAGGTTCAAGACTATATTATCTTCGATCGATACAAGTGAATTCTTTATTAAAAAACGGTTCTCTTCAATAAGTAATTATTTTATTTCATTTAAAGAATTATTGATTGTTGATTTAAGAACTAATTTTTTTATTTATAATGTTATAAGTTTAAGTCAGAAAAAAACTTTGAAGTTAAAAACATTTTTATTTCTCTATTTGCCGACAAAATATTTATTAATACAGAGAATAGCAATAATACTTAAATTTATATGCTTAAAACAAGTTAAATAATATGTTAATTCTCGAGTGGCGCCATACTTACGAACAAGTCGGTAATATCTTGAACCAACGTTACCGTCTATTTTAATCCTCGAGAAAGAAATTCTTCGGCGACAGTTGTATATATCTTATTTTAAAACAACCAAGTTTCTTGATTCGAGAATCAATTTCTTAAAAGAATTTAATTACTTAAAATAACAATGACATTTTGAAGAAAAAGTTTTTCTTTAATCAAGTCATTTTTTATATCAGTGATAGAAAAAAGGATTGTTTTTTTTTATCAGTATATTTGAACAGTAATTAAAGTTGAGATAATGGTTGTTGAAAATAGCATGTATTATTATCAGATATATTAGAAAAACGTCTAGCTGTCATGTCGGAACAATAATGAATAGAAATATAAGAGGGATACATGGCGACATTTTCCCTCGGAATTCTCCTTTGCTTTAATATTTGTATCACTTTTGTATTTATAACCACGTCACACAAGTTGACATTGATATAGGACATATAAAAGGGGTATTATATTACTGATAATATATGTATCCATTCGCATGATAATAATTATTAATATATTTTTTAAAAATAACAATAAAATTGCATTATTACAAGATACAGTTTCAGTTATTACACAGTGTAAAGTGTAAAACTTGCAGTTTTTCCTACAAGGTACCTCTTTTTACTCTATAAACTAAATTTTCCACTTTTTTATTTTTTTTCCGTGCCGATAAAAAATCAGTAGTCTGTTAATAAAATTGTCTGTTAATAATCCGAACAAAAACAGTTTCACTGTAAAAAAATCGCGCCAAGTCCACGTTCATAAGACTATTAAGAAAAAAAAATTAGTTTTTTTCTTTACAAAAAGATATAAAATAAAAAAATTAAAAAACCCAAGTAACCGATATGATTGTTTATGATTTTCGGAAATTAAAAAAAATTTGTTGTAAATTTAAAAATTAAAAAAAAAATTTTGGAACGTACTTGGTGTGCGCGGTTGCAAAATATTTTACTCTTAATTAAATTCGTAAAATCTATTTAATAGGACTTTAAAAAAATTGAAATGCACAATATGACGCACCAAGTACGTTCTAAAATTGTTTTTTTAATTTTTAAATTTACAACAAAATTTCTTTTAATTTCCGAAAATCATAAACAATCATACCGGTTACTTGGATTTTTTAATTTTTTAATTTTATATCTTTTTGTAAAGAAAAAAACCAATTTTTTTTTCTTAATAGTCTTATATGAACGTGGACTTGGCGCGATTTTTTTACAGTAAAACTGTTTTTGTTCGGATATTAGTATTTTTTGTAATTATAATAAAAATTCACAATTGGTACCAACTTAAATCTCGCGTTAGCTGCATTTTTTATAGCAAACTATTCCCTTAAAGCTACAGTTTATGTAAAAATAATTCCAGCACACCCTGGCGGGTGTAGATGCAAGCAGTGAAATATTTTTTTT